TGGGTGTGTTCCGTATGTATAACTATACCTACATACAATACATTTGGGTGTGTTCCGTATGTATAACTATACCTACATACAATACATTTGGGTGTGTTCCGTATGTATAACTATACCTACATGCAATACATTTGGGTGTGTTCCGTATGTATAACTATACCTACATGCAATACATTTGGGTGTGTTCCGTATGTATAACTATACCTACATGCAATACATTTGGGTGTGTTCCGTATGTATAACTATACCTACATGCAATACATTTGGGTGTGTTCCGTATGTATAACTATACCTACATGCAATACATTTGGGTGTGTTCCGTATGTATAACTATACCTACATGCAATACATTTGGGTGTGTTCCGTATGTATAACTATACCTACATGCAATACATTTGGGTGTGTTCCGTATGTATAACTATACCTACATGCAATACATTTGGGTGTGTTCCGTATGTATAACTATACCTACATACAATACATTGGGTGTGTTCCGTATGTATAACTATACCTACATACAATACATTTGGGTGTGTTCCGTATGTATAACTATACCTACATGCAATACATATGGGTGTGTTCCGTATGTATAACTATACCTACATGCAATACATTTGGGTGTGTTCCGTATGTATAACTATACCTACATACAATACATTTGGGTGTGTTCCGTATGTATAACTATACCTACATGCAATACATTTGGGTGTGTTCCGTATGTATAACTATACCTACATGCAATACATTTGGGTGTGTTCCGTATGTATAACTATACCTACATACAATACATTTGGGTGTGTTCCGTATGTATAACTATACCTACATGCAATACATTTGGGTGTGTTCCGTATGTATAACTATACCTACATGCAATACATTTGGGTGTGTTCCGTATGTATAACTATACCTACATACAATACATATTTTGGGTGTGTTCCGTATGTATAACTATACCTACATACAATACATTTGGGTGTGTTCCGTATGTATAACTATACCTACATGCAATACATTTGGGTGTGTTCCGTATGTATAACTATACCTACATACATACATTTGGGTGTGTTCCGTATGTATAACTATACCTACATGCAATACATTTGGGTGTGTTCCTGTATGTATAACTATACCTACATGCAATACATTTGGTGTGTTCCGTATGTATAACTATACCTACATGCAATACATTTGGGTGTGTTCCGTATGTATAACTATACCTACATGCAATACATTTGGGTGTGTTCCGTATGTATAACTATACCTACATGCAATACATTTGGGTGTGTTCCGTATGTATAACTATACCTACATGCAATACATTTGGGTGTGTTCCGTATGTATAACTATACCTACATGCAATACATTTGGGTGTGTTCCGTATGTATAACTATACCTACATGCAATACATTTGGTGTGTTCCGTATGTATAACTATACCTACATACAATACATATTGGGTGTGTTCCGTATGTATAACTATACCTACATGCAATACATTTGGGTGTGTTCCTGTATGTATAACTATACCTACATGCAATACATTTGGGTGTGTTCCGTATGTATAACTATACCTACATACAATACATTTGGGTGTGTTCCGTATGTATAACTATACCTACATACAATACATTTGGGTGTGTTCCGTATGTATAACTATACCTACATGCAATACATTTGGGTGTGTTCCGTATGTATAACTATACCTACATGCAATACATTTGGGTGTGTTCCGTATGTATAACTATACCTACATGCAATACATTTGGGTGTGTTCCGTATGTATAACTATACCTACATGCAATACATTTGGGTGTGTTCCGTATGTATAACTATACCTACATGCAATACATTTGGGTGTGTTCCGTATGTATAACTATACCTACATGCAATACATTTGGGTGTGTTCCGTATGTATAACTATACCTACATACAATACATGGGTGTGTTCCGTATGTATAACTATACCTACATACAATACATTTGGGTGTGTTCCGTATGTATAACTATACCTACATGCAATACATTTGGGTGTGTTCCGTATGTATAACTATACCTACATACAATACATTTGGGTGTGTTCCGTGTATGTATAACTATACCTACATACAATACATTTGGGTGTGTTCCGTATGTATAACTATACCTACATGCAATACATTTGGGTGTGTTCCGTATGTATAACTATACCTACATGCAATACATTTGGGTGTGTTCCGTATGTATAACTATACCTACATACAATACATTTGGGTGTGTTCCGTATGTATAACTATACCTACATGCAATACATTTGGGTGTGTTCCGTATGTATAACTATACCTACATGCAATACATTTGGGTGTGTTCCGTATGTATAACTATACCTACATGCAATACATTTGGGTGTGTTCCGTATGTATAACTATACCTACATACAATACATTTGGGTGTGTTCCTGTATGTATAACTATACCTACATGCAATACATTTGGGTGTGTTCCGTATGTATAACTATACCTACATGCAATACATTTGGGTGTGTTCCGTATGTATAACTATACCTACATGCAATACATTTGGGTGTGTTCCGTATGTATAACTATACCTACATACAATACATTTGGGTGTGTTTCCGTATGTATAACTATACCTACATACAATACATTTGGGTGTGTTCCGTATGTATAACTATACCTACATGCAATACATTTGGGTGTGTTCCGTATGTATAACTATACCTACATGCAATACATTTGGGTGTGTTCCGTATGTATAACTATACCTACATACAATACATTTGGGTGTGTTCCGTATGTATAACTATACCTACATACAATACATTTGGGTGTGTTCCGTATGTATAACTATACCTACATGCAATACATATGGTGTGTTCCGTATGTATAACTATACCTACATGCAATACATTTGGGTGTGTTCCGTATGTATAACTATACCTACATACAATACATTTGGGTGTGTTCCGTATGTATAACTATACCTACATGCAATACATTTGGGTGTGTTCCATGTATGTATAACTATACCTACATGCAATACATTTGGGTGTGTTCCGTATGTATAACTATACCTACATGCAATACATTTGGGTGTGTTCCGTATGTATAACTATACCTACATGCAATACATTTGGGTGTGTTCCGTATGTATAACTATACCTACATACAATACATTTGGGTGTGTTCCGTATGTATAACTATACCTACATACAATACATTTGGGTGTGTTCCGTATGTATAACTATACCTACATGCAATACATTTGGGTGTGTTCCGTATGTATAACTATACCTACATGCAATACATTTGGGTGTGTTCCGTATGTATAACTATACCTACATACAATACATTTGGGTGTGTTCCGTATGTATAACTATACCTACATGCAATACATTTGGGTGTGTTCCGTATGTATAACTATACCTACATACAATACATTTGGGTGTGTTCCGTATGTATAACTATACCTACATACAATACATTTGGGTGTGTTCCGTATGTATAACTATACCTACATGCAATACATTTGGGTGTGTTCCGTATGTATAACTATACCTACATGCAATACATTTGTGTGTGTTCCGTATGTATAACTATACCTACATACAATACATTTGGGTGTGTTCCGTATGTATAACTATACCTACATACATACAATACATTTGGGTGTGTTCCGTATGTATAACTATACCTACATGCAATACATTTGGGTGTGTTCCGTATGTATAACTATACCTACATGCAATACATTTGGGTGTGTTCCGTATGTATAACTATACCTACATGCAATACATTTGGGTGTGTTCCGTATGTATAACTATACCTACATACAATACATTTGGGTGTTTCCGTGTATAACCCTACATGCAATACATTTGTATGTATAACTATACCTACATACAATACATTTGGGTGTGTTCCGTATGTATAACTATACCTACATGCAATACATTTGGGTGTGTTCCGTATGTATAACTATACCTACATACAATACATTTGGGTGTGTTCCGTATGTATAACTATACCTACATGCAATACATTTGGGTGTGTTCCGTATGTATAACTATACCTACATACAATACATTTGGGTGTGTTCCGTATGTATAACTATACCTACATACAATACATTTGGGTGTGTTCCGTATGTATAACTATACCTACATGCAATACATTTGGGTGTGTTCCGTATGTATAACTATACCTACATACAATACATTTGGGTGTGTTCCGTATGTATAACTATACCTACATACAATACATTTGGGTGTGTTCCGTATGTATAACTATACCTACATGCAATACATACATGTATAATGCAATACATTTGGGTGTGTTCCGTATGTATAACTATACCTACATGCAATACATTTGGGTGTGTTCCGTATGTATAACTATACCTACATGCAATACATTTGGGTGTGTTCCGTATGTATAACTATACCTACATGCAATACATTTGGGTGTGTTCCGTATGTATAACTATACCTACATACAATACATTTGGGTGTGTTCCGTATGTATAACTATACCTACATACAATACATTTGGGTGTGTTCCGTATGTATAACTATACCTACATACAATACATTTGGGTGTGTTCCGTATGTATAACTATACCTACATGCAATACATTTGGGTGTGTTCCGTATGTATAACTATACCTACATACAATACATTTGGCTGTGTTCCGTATGTATAACTATACCTACATACAATACATTTGGGTGTGTTCCGTATGTATAACTATACCTACATACAATACATTTGGGTGTGTTCCGTATGTATAACTATACCTACATACAATACATATGGGTGTGTTCCGTATGTATAACTATACCTACATGCAATACATATGGGTGTGTTCCGTATGTATAACTATACCTACATGCTACATTTGACGAATCCACTGAGCAAGACAACACTGATGAACGTATCGGTTAATCCTTTGATCGACGTTTTCAGAACTCAGCTGTAACTATGGTAACTCTGTGTCTGTCTTCAGGACCCCCGAGGTTTACGTCTACTCCAGCTGGTCAGATGGTCAGTGCTGGGGAGACGGTCGAATTCACGTGCCAGGCGTCTGGCTACCCAGCTCCAAGTATATTGTGGACCAAAGATGAGAACCTGTTACGCACCAATGACAAATATCAGGTACCCTATCCTCCAACTGTAACACTATCAGGTACCCTATCCTCCAACTGTAACACTATCAGGTACCCTATACTCCAACTGTAACACTATCAGGTACCCTATCCTCCAGCTGAAACACTATCAGGTACCCTATACTCCAACTGTAACACTATCAGGTACCCTATACTCCAACTGTAACACTATCAGGTACCCTATCCTCCAACTGTAACACTATCAGTTACTCTATCCTCCAACTGTAACATTATCAGGTACCCAATCCTCCAACTGTAACACTGTCAGGTACCCAATCCTCCAACTGTAACACTGTCGGGTACCCATTCCTCCAACTGTAACACTGTCAGGTACCCTATCCTCCAACTGTAACACTATCAGTTACTCTATCCTCCAACTGTAACACTATCAGGTACCCTATCCTTCAACTGTTACACTATCAGGTACCCTATCCTCCAACTGTAACACTATCAGGTACACTATCACTATGATATTGATGTGGCTGTTGATACACTTGTGAACATTATTCAAGAATCTGCTCGTCTTTGTGGTCTCCAGAAGCATTCATTTTCTCGACATCGTACAAATTTTGAAAATAATCAGAAATGGTATGGCGATGAGTGTATTTCGTTAAAACAGAAATAGTTTAAGACACTGGATACCTTTAGAATAACGGAAAATAAAGAAACTCTCAAATAATCCCAGCACGCTAGAAATGAATACAGATGTGTGTGCAGAAGTAAAAAAAGCTTATATGAAGATGACTGTGTAAATAATCTTGTGGCCACCAGTGATAACGGCAAATTATTTTGGCGAAAACTCAATTCTTTAACTCAGACACAGGAACAGATAAATAGTGATAACATTCCCGCTGGGGAGTGGACTGGATACTGTAAACACGTTCTTAATTCAAGTGGACGCTGACAATCTAGACTCGGTAACTCTATATGAATCCAATCACACAGAGGAGAACTGTAACTACTGTCAAGATGAAACTTTAAATGACATTTGGAATTCTGATATATCAGAGAGTGAAGTAAATAGTGCTATAAACAGACTGAAATGTTGGACTGCACCTGGCCAAGATGGTCTACTCCCTGACATAATCATGGAATGGTGTAGTACTTTAGTTCCATGTTTGACAGTATTGTTTAATTGTGTCGTGCGCACGGGCGTGTTTCCTTCTATTTGGGCTAAAAGTATTATTATACCTTTACATAAGAAGGGAAGTGTGAAAGATGTTAATAATTATAGAGGTATATCTTTGATAGACACAATAGGAAAATGTCTGACTGCGGTTTTGAATGAAAGATTAGTTCAGTTTGCCGATTTGTATGAGAAGATCCCAGAAGCACAGGCTGGATTTAGACGTGGTTACTGTAATGTTGATAATATATTTCTTTTACAATGTCTGGTTCAAAAATATCTATCTATAAAGGGAGGAAGGTTTTATTGCATTTTTGTAGATTTAAAAAAGGCTTTTGACTCTATTAACAGGAAACTTCTTTGGTATTCTATAATGAAGAATGGTGTTCATGGTCGTATATTAGTTCTTTTAAAGAATATGTATTCTAAAATTCAGTGTGCAGTTAAAGTTTCTAATACTTCAGTGAGTTCTTTGATTCATTTAGTGGTGTTCGTCAAGGGTGTATTATTAGGCCATTGTTATTTTCCATGTTTATGTTAGAACTGCAGAGCATGATAGAATTGTTTACTCTAAGAGGTATATCAGTTGGTCAAGAGTTTATGGAAATAGTGTTATTATTATATGCGGATGACTTGTGTTCAGTTGATGATAGTGTCATTGGTTTGCGGCGGAAGATAGATATTCTTGATAGTTTCTGCAATAAGTGGGGTCTTCAGGTTAATTTAGATAAAACAGAAGTTATGGTTTTAAGAAATGATGGTATATTAAGGCATTATGAAAAATGGTTCTTCAGTGGCTCTCAGATAAAGGTTACTACTTATTACAATTATTTGGGTATTTTGTTTTCAAATAGATTGTCTTGGTCAAAGTGTGTAGCTACGTTAGCTATCAAAGGTAATAAGGCTCTATTTTTCATTAAAAAGTTACTTTGTAAGTTCCCAGGATTGCCAGCTAATATTTCATTCAAATTGTTTGACATTAAAATTAAACCTGTGTTATTGTATGGAGCCCAAGTTTGGGGATTTCAGAGATATCCAGTGCTAGAATCATTTTATGCTAATTTCTGTTAGTTTGTGCTAGGGGTTAGCAAATATAATTCTAGTAATGCTGTTTTGGCGGAGTGTGGTAGATATCATCAATTGTATGTAGATTATCATGTTAAATGTGTTAAGTATTGGTGCGATCTTTTGAGGATAGATAATAGTAGGTATCCCATGCAGAGTTATCTTTTAATGAAACAACTCGATGAATCTGGCAGGACAACATGGGCAAGTGGTGTAAGGCAATTACTTTTCAGTTTCGGATTGGTGATGTGTGGCTGTTTCAGGATATTGGTAATGTGGATATGTTTTTAATGCTATTTAAGCAACGTATATATGAATGTAATTTACAGGTAATTTTTAATAACATCAGTACATCTGATAGGTTAAAACATTATCTCCAGTTAAAATCGTGTTTTGATACAGAATATTATATCATGAATATTAGAAACTGGGAGATATTTATGTTTGCTCAGATTAGACCAGTTACCTATTCAAACAACTATTGGTCGTCGGTAGGGTATAAATAAATGTTTGTGTTTCTGTAAGAATTGTAATGATAATGTAGTGGAAGATGTTATACACTTTTTGTTTGAGTGCCCAATGTATAATTTGATAAGGAGACTGACTGAGTTTGGTTTTACGCCGCTTTTAGCAATATTCCAGCAATATCACGGCGGGGGACACCAGAAATGGGCTTCACTCAGTGTACCCATGTGGGGATTCGAACCCGGGTCTTCGGCGTGACGAGCCAAAGCTTTAACCACTAGACTACCCAACCGCCCCTTGATAAGGAGAAAATATATACCATCTAGATTTTCTGATAACCCTACTACTTATTCTTATAAGTTACTAGTATGTAGTAAAGATCATGAAATTATTCTAAATGTAGCAAAATATGGTAAACATTGTTTGCCTCTCCGCAATGTATAATCATTGTCACTTTCACTATATCATCATATATTATTGTTCAACGATGTACAAGGGCCGATGGCCTAAAAAACGAATAAACGATATACTATCCTCCAACTGTGACACTACTCTGCCTGTATACACACTGAATGTTACGTTTTGTTGTGGTAGGTTACCACAAGTGGAACCTTGATCGTGCGACGAGCTGGGAAGGATGACGCGGGCATCTACAGATGTTTCGCCAGGAATACAGCAGGGCAGATAGATGCTCCAGCAACTCTAAATATCATAAGTTGGTCAAACCTATTTTACACATTGTAGTAGCCATCCACCCGTACCTTACTGCGTTATACCGGACACAAACCATCTAACATGATATTCATCTTTGACGTAGCCTCCGTTACAAAGGGTGCACAGGCTTTTATTTCTTGGGGAATCTTGAAATATCTGCCTTTTTCTATTTTGAAACCATGGGATCTGCAACGAAAATGTGCCATGGCCTCACGGAATCGTGCAATTGTTAAATGTTCAGTGTATATGCCGCTCCAAACTTTACAGAAAGTAGGATGTCTTATTCTCAAATTGCTGAAAAGACAGGAGTGTCAGTCATGTAAACGAATACATTTTACCACAGGTTCCCCGAATGTTTTTTAATACTTACTGCCCGTGAATCCGAAACATTTGCCAAATCCAAGTCGAATAAACAAATACTTCAAGTTTGAAACAAAATTACTACTACCATTATATGCAGCTTGTAAAAGCATATTCTAAAACTTTCTGGATATCTTGCATATGCAATAATCTAACCCATTTTTTAACGGTTAAATGCACAAATATGTGTAGTGTCTCTGTCACAAGCACCTAACACTGTGTACGTTGTCGAACTCAACACTCCAACATGTGAATGGCTTCCATACATCCTCCAACATTCACACCAAAACTCACACCCATACAGTCAAATATTCTCAAACATTCAAGGGGAATAGGTTTAAACCTATGTTCTTTGCTACAGACTCTAACTGTATCGGATATCGAAATGTTATCATCAGCTAACAATAGCACTAAAGTACCGTCGTAAATGCTAGAAAAATGCTTTTTTGACTTATATTTAAAATTCAGAGGTATTACAGTTACATAAATAACAAATATCACTTTAAGAAACATCTACCTAATGTAGACCGAGGGAATAAATTTTGAGACATGCCCTAAAATGTGTTTTTACTGATGAAAATACCAAAAACTGAGAAAAATAACGGGTAGTGGGACGTTATTTGATACAAACATTAACTGCCTGTGCTACGTCATCAGCATGCACGGTATCGACAGGTGAAATTGACACCTGAGCACACGCTCGGGGGGAAGGGATCATCTCAATAGATGTTTTCTTCAAAATGTTGAATATGTGTACGTATAGTATACGTATTGGTTATGTAAGGGATCATTTGTGTATGTGTGTATGTGTGTTTGTTTTGAAATAAACATACGAATTACTGTACGTTGGAAAGATTCCTATCACTTGTGTTATCTTATCGATTCATTGTAGAAAATAATGTGCAACGTTTTAATAAATGTTTTGCATGTCAACAGTGTATTTCATCGCAAAAATATGGATGTAATTCGGTCACTTTATTCTAGTTGTGAACATTGGCCAAAGATTTAACGAAGTCAAAGGTGTAGCTTCTTTAGAATATACATATTATTCTTCTCATAAAGTTTGTAGACCGCCCGTCTAAGTACTCCCTTGTCAAAGTTGTCAAGGATGGTTTTACGTCCCGGTTTTGCTTTTGAGACGGTCTCTGTCTTGTCTGATTTGTGTACAATATTGTAAACTTGTTGGTAAGACATACCAACAGCTCTACAAGTTCTGTAATAAACCCTTTCTAAACTAATGAAAGGTTTACCTCTGTCTTTTTCAAGCACAAAAAACTTATAAACCTTTGCAACAATTGACTGCAAATAGTTGGCCATAGAGGACGCTGTGATAAAGATGTGCATGCATGACGGGACACTTTTTTATCAAGACAACATTTATATCAATATTTCTTCAATAAAGAAACGATAATTAAGTAAAGCAACACAAACATTCAACATTTATTTGTTAAAGAAAAACGTTGATTCATATTTTTACACCACCTGTATTATTAGCATAAATGTAAAGACTATTTCAGATTTCTGTTGTTGAACTCTGAAAAAATCTTAAGTTGTTTTGGTACCATATTCTCTCCTGTAAACTGCCCTTTAAATACATGGGAATGTTAAATCGATTGAAATAAAAATTAGGTACACTATAGGCGAGTTGATATATTGACAACATAGTACATTTATCACCTTTATCAAAGCATTAAGGCTAAAAAGCATTTTTCTAGCATTTCCGACAGTACTTTAACGGTTGAATCACCCCTTATCTAAGCTGGATAATAGATATGTACTAAAACAATTATGTTTTAGACCCAAATTACAATAAAACATATTATTAGAATTAACGTACTCGACTATATACAGCTTGTACTCCATTTAACATTTTTGGAGAGATCCCTTTACTTTTATGCGAATCAGTCGTTTTTAAAATATCTACAAATATTGCATCAAACTCCCATCTTTTGTTTTATAAGTAGCGTTGATTGACTTATTGTAAAAGGATATGGCATGCCCCTTGTTACAGGAATACGTAAAGGTGTCGTCTAAATTGTCACGACATAAACCTTAAAGTTCTTCTTTACGTCCGTATGGTGCATACTAAGGCAACATAAAATAAAACATAGTATGTTTTGCGAACAACGTTTCAGCAGAGATGAAAATATGATCCACGCCAGAAATTTTTAATCTTGATTAAGGTTATAGGCCGTCAATTGGAACTCTTCAGTCCAGCTTTCCTGTTATCCGCACACAAGCACTAGTAGTGGCACTAAAAGCCGCATGTAGTTGTATTTGCATTGGTATTCTGTGAACACATTTCTTTACGGACTCCACGGACATTTCTGTATTTCCAGGATTCCCTTATTTCAAGCTACCATCGTCCAGTCCAGTGACGGTAGGCTTAGGTGGGGATGTTAAACTGGATTGCCAAGCCATGGGCGACCCAGTCCCCATACAGAAGTGGGAACGAAATGGCAGCGCTATGATTATAGGTAGGACCACTTCTTTAAATGTAAGATAATGAGATCAATGGATGACTTAGTTATACACACACAAGTGTAAACTATTCACCCATCATTATGATATTCATTTCAATAATCTGCACGTGAAATATGGACAGGTGAGATGCACGTGACACTAATGTTCCATCAACATTGTGACTCACAAAGGAAACAAACCCAGAAAATCATTCTTTGGTTGAGGCAAAAGCATCAACATGGATTGTTTGGAAACCGATGAATCCAGATCGGCCGTGGGCAGGGCGTTTTATCTATCCGTAAGCACCATTACCAGGCACTGAAGTACCAAGGGACTTCCATTATCCGATATGCCAGTGTGACCATCAAATGCCCAGGACAGCAGTATTCGAGGTTGTCATCTATGGCAAAGGACCAGCACGGCAACGTTTGAAGGCTGCTTTACTGATTTCACAGTGAGTGAGTGAGTGAGTTTAGTCTTACGCCGCAATCAGCAATATTCCAGCTGTATGGCGGCGGTCTGTAAATAATCGAGTCAGGACCAGACAATCCAGTGATCAGTGATTTGGAGATCACCTCCTCTGTCAAAGGAGGGGTGCAGCGCAAAGTTTGGCTCCGATTTTCAAATTAAGTTTTGCAAAACCTACGTCAGTGTAAATATTTTTAATTTAGAAAAATACATGCAAATCCCACGCAAAATTTGTTCAGCCTATAACTTAATAATATTTCAATGGGTTGTTTGCAGATTTCGATATTGACATATTTGGTTATAGGAAAGGTGCAAAGTTTGATTCAGGGGGATCAAGTTGATCCCCTAAACGTGTCCATGTCAAAGGGCCAAAACAACACAATTTGGACAAAATGTAACTCAATTAGGTATGCAAAAGGAACAACGTGTTTGTAACCGTCTCTATAGCGGTGTCAAAATGTGTTTAGTATTGATGTTAGTCACGGTCAGGGATATTGGTGAACCCTGCTCACATGAGTCTGGGAATGGTCACGTGACATGTGTTGAAGACCATGGCCAGAAGCAGGTGAGGTATACACACTCACACAGCATAACACTGGAGCTGTTTGAAGCGGCGTGGCTAGGAAATGTTGTTTACCGGTTTTGTTGGCGGTGTTCCAGATGACAACATGCACCTGTTCACCAACCACACACTGTTGATAGATGACATACGTAGCCATCAGTTTGGAGAGTACACCTGTGTGGCAGTAAACTTGGGCGGAGTCAACTCAACTACTGTCACAATTTTCCCCGGGGGTACGTATCACGGATTGAGATCAAACCTTGGTGACAACTCATGATCTTTCGAAGTAATCGCAGTTACTTTCATACAATCTTCACATAATGCAGCGTTTGTTCTACCCTTTGCTGAGGTACTGTCTGTTGGTAAACTCCGAGAGTCCACCGACTGAGTACTGGAGCACAGTGAGGTAGTGGTTAGCATGCTTGTCTCTCACGCCAAAGGCCCGGGTTCGAATCCCGGTGGAGACACCAAAATTTGTGACCTGGGTACTGTGTTGTGTCCCCGGGCAAGGCACTTCGTCCACATTGCACTCAGTCCACCTAGCTGTTCAAAATGGGTACCTGAGAAGCGGATGTAAGGAAGCGCTTAGTAGCGGCTTTGAAAGTACAATTCCGTCAGGGTAATAATGTAACGCCAGAGAGCAGCATCGTGTTGGATTCTAGGCGCAACAATTAGCATTATTATTATTGATTACCACGCAAATGCAAAACTTCCCCGACAGCTGAGAATGTCATTTGGGAACAAATTGATCCATAGTCGTGGTTATAATATCCTGTAGTAGGGATGCTACGTGTATTCCCACCTACACCTGTATGTGATACACACTTATCTTGCAGACTTCCCCTTCCTCATTACAAGACCCCGAAACACCACCGCTGTTCTGGGGACCAATGTAACGCTGCAGTGTAGGGGACAATCTCGAGGCCCCTTCTCTATACGATGGGTGAAATCCAGTCTAGGTGGCGGCGATGGAACCCACATCGGAACCAGCACGGAGCAGTCTGTCGGAGTTGGAGTGAAGCTGAATGGAGACCTTCAGTTTATTGTGAGTTGTTGATTGATCCATCCGTTGGGTTCCTTCTAATAATCACACATCTGGAGCGACCACTAAACACGAACTGTTGCTCATCTGAACATTATGAAAGTGTGATATCAAAACACTGATGTTGGTTTTGTGTCAATGGACTGAAAACTTTCCACATACCGTTCACTATATAAACACAATCATATATTACAACACATGCCGTCCACTATATAAACACAATCATATAATACAACACATACCGTCCACTATATAAACACAATCATATATCACAACACATGCCGTCCACCACTATGTAAACACAATCATATATTACAACACATGCCGTTTACTATATAAACACAATCATATATTACAACACATACCGTCCACTATATAAACACAATCATATATTACAACACATGCCGTCCACCACTATATAAACACAATCATATATTACAACACATGCCGTCCACCACTATATAAACACAATCATATATTACAACACATGTCGTCCACCACTATATAAACACAATCATATATTACGACACATACCGTTCACTATATAAACACAATTATATATTACAACACATACCGTCCACTATATAAACACAATCATATATTACAACACATACCGTCCACTATATAAACACAATCATATATTACAACACATACCGTCCACTATATAAACACAATCATATATTACAACACATGCCGTCCACTATATAAACACAATCATATATTACAATACATACCGTCCACTATATAAACACAGTCATATATTACAGCACATACCGTCCACTATATAAACACAATCATATATTACAACACATTCCGTCCACTATATAAACACAATCATATATTACAACACATGTCGTCCACCACTATATAAACACAATCATATATTACAACACATACCGTCCACTATATAAACACAATCATATATTACAACACATACCGTCCACTATATATACACAATCATACATTACAACACATGTCGTCCACCACTATATAAATACAATCATATATTACAACACATACCGTCCACTATATAAACACAATCATATATTACAACACATACCGTCCACTATATAAACACAATCATATATTACAACACATACCGTCCACTATATAAACACAATCATATATTACAACACATACCGTCCACTATATAAACACAATCATATATTACAACACATACCGTCCACTATATAAACACAATCATATATTACAACACATACCGTCCACTATATAAACACAATCATATATTACAACACATACCGTCCATTATATAAACACAATCATATATTACAACACATACTGTCCACTATATAAACACAATCATATATTACAACACATTCCGTCCACTATATAAACACAATCATATATTACAACACATGCCACTTTCTGTACTGTAATACTGCTCCACACAAATATTTAATGCAGTAGTATACTAGGCACATAAAGAAACTGTGCATACAAAAATTTAAAATCTAAATTTATCAAACCTGTGTAGACACATAAGGATTTAAACTCAGAGATTAGTGACATGTATCCAACATGCATGCACGTGCCACGTTCCGAGACGTCAGTGGGTTCGTTCTTGAGACGTGCAATACGTTGTTGCACGTGCATTCCGGGAAAGAGAAACAGAGCAAATGAATGCCACACAATACTCTCACTTTGGAAAGCTCAACCCCTACCCTTGCGATCGTTCAAAAAATTAAACGGCATAGCATGCCAAGGCTCACGTCTGCACAACGTCATGAGGTCATTGGGATGGTCCGTGGGGGAATGTCTCAACGACAAGTGGCTGCACATTTCCACTGCCACCGGAACACCATTTCTGCACTGGTGAGACGCTACCAGAACACAAATGACGTCATCGATCGGCCACGTTCTGGACGTCCACGTGTAACGACGCCAAGACAGGGCAGATGGATAAGGGTGACCCATCTGAGCCACATGTTTCAGACTGCAGTGCTGACTGCCCGAACCATCCCAGGACTTCGCCGCATCCACCCCAACACAGTTCGACAACGTTTACGTCATCACGGGATCAGACCACGACGTCCCGCCATACGGCCTATCCTGACACAACGTCATCGACAAGCTCGCCGAATGTGGTGCCGAAATCATGTCCGCAGACCCTTGTTTTGGTGGAGAAATATTGTTTTTACTGATGAGTCCAGGTTAACATTTCCTATAGTGATGGACGTCAACGTGCCTATAGACGCGTGGGAGAACGTTATGCACAGGCCTGTGTCTTGGAGAGGAATCGCTTTGGTGGTGGTTCCGTGATGATTTGGGGTGGAATAACAGCACGCCAAAGAACTCCTTTGGCAACTTAACTGGTGTGGGCCACAGGGATCAGATTCTTCAACCTGTGGCAATTCCTTTTCTGCAACGTCATGGCCCTGGGTTAGCATTCCAACAGGACAATGCCCGCCCTCATACGGCAAGGGTTGCTATGGATTTCTTGCAACACCACAACGTTGACTTACTGCCTTGGTCTGCAAATTCACCGGATCTCTCCCCGATAGAGCATGTTTGGGACGAGATGGATCGACGTCTACGCCGTCTTCCTCATCCGCCAGATAACGTCCTTGACCTTGCAACAGAACTTGAGAGAATCTGGCGTGACATCCCACAAGCCTTCCTTGCACGTTTGATAGGCTCTATGCGTCGTCGATGCACTGCTGTTCTCAATGCCGATGGTGGACATACCCGTTATTGAGCTTGTGACATGGTCGTTTGACCCCTGTCCCTCTTGTGGACTCGTGAAGTCATTGTGTTTGATTTTTCAATTGAAATTCTCCCGACTTGTTATGGTCTCATGATCCCTCCATTAAAGTTGATATGTACCTTTGACATTGTTATCGTACTTATCAACTGGGATAATATTTTGACAATGCACAGTTTCTTTATGTGGCTAGTATATTTGTAATTACTGTTTTTCATAATTATTAGTTAATATCTTTTGAAGAGAAGAAGATAGTTTATTTCCGTTTGCAGGCCATCGGCCCATGTACAAAAGTATATACAATTCATATATACATATGTATTGTACTTGACAGGTATGCGTGTATTACTATTCAGATACAGATTTTTCAGAGCTTCCTTAATAAACTTTAAGGAAGGACTTTAATCAGAATACTCACATCATGTGAGGTCAATAATGTATGGAATTTACAAATATTTGGTAAAGAACCCCAATTTGGTATATATACCTCTTTCTTAAAGAAACATATGCGTCACATTCAAATATGAAGTGAAACTCATTTTTGATACTATTATTATTAGACATTCTACATATTCTAGTCTACATTACAACGTAAAGGAAGCTCATTTAATCTTAACAAACATAAGTATCTTCTTACTTCCCTACTATTAATATTTGATACATAATATTCAACTGTGTACAATGATTTAATAAACTTATAATGTACAAGTCTCGATGAAACATTAATATTGCCAAAAAATGCTTTGTTGTCCACAATCTTCTAATCTCTGCTGAAATAACGACAAAAAATATGAGATATCTCCAATATCTTGCCTAACCCACGCATATCCAAAACCATACATATTCAACAATAACCTAACACAAGAAGCCCACGTATTCCTTCCAATAGAATCTAGATTCTTAATGTAAAGATAACATTGTTTGAGGTAGCGAGTGTCAGGCATTCTGAACAATTTACACCAATATTTCACACATTTCAAGTAATAATCTACATAAATTCCTTGTCTACCACGTTCAGCTAAAGCTGCGTTAGTAGATACAAGTTTACCTACACCTAAAACATAATTACAAAAAACTATTATGAAATCTATCAATAACATTTCTTTCCTGAAATCTCCACACTTCTGCACCATACAACAAAATTGGTTTAAGTTTGGAGTCAAACAATTTAAATAATATATCAGCAGGAATTTTTGTATATTTATGCTGAAGCTGTTTAATAACAAGTAAAGCCTTACTGGCTTTTGATGCAAGAGTTTTTGTCCATGACAACCTAGTGGAAAACATAACACCTAGATAGTTATAATACGTTGCTGTTTTCAGTGGTTTTCCATCAAAACACCATTTCTCATAATTTCGTCAATAACCACCATTTCGAAATACTAATATTTCTGTCTTACCCATATTTACTTGTAAGCCCCATGATTTGCAAAATGTACATAAAATATTCTATCTTTTGACAGAGTATCCGAAAGTCTGACGAAGGTTGGTACACGTGCTCCGCCGTCAACACTGAGGGTAACGTGACAGCCGACCCCGTCAATGTACACGTATACAGTGAGTAGTGGTCACACGTAGAACAGCATGAACGGTTCTGTAACAATGGCTGCACTTTCATACAGGAAACCACCTATTCTTTGGTTTACACATGTGTTAAAGACTACGCCATGTAAATACAGTCAGACCTCGTTAATACGAACACTTTGGTTTTTTAAAAAAACCGTTCGGATAGTGAAACGTTCGTACTGCTGAAACCACAGTATATGCACCGAGTTACTTCCCCTTGATACAACTACAACTTAAATAAAATTATTTTTGAATGAAAATGCAAGCTTACATTTATAACGTCCAGATAAACCACGAAAGAAGCAAAAACTATGGCGTATCACCTCTATATTCGATTGACCTTGACCTCATAATTATAGAGATACTGTGAAGAATGTGCATGATCATTAGGAAACAGTCTTACATCGGTCTCCATAGTAGGGATGCTAGAGCGACATGGTAATCATTGTGATGAAGCTATATCATTCCTATCCGTAAATTCCTGTCAAGGATGATCACATTTGTTGCAATAGCATGTAACCTGTATCTTCAGCTCCGCCGTCTATACTGTCCACCAACAGTCCAGTGTCCGTCCTCGCCAACACTCAAGCCCAACTCAGCTGTAATGTATCTGGGGACCCAGCCCCTACCTTGAGGTGGAAGTCCCCTGCCGGCATTCAGGTGACCCCCGTCACTGCACAGTACATACCTACTGGCTGGCAGCTCACCATTACGTCCGTGGATTCAGAGGCGGACGGTGGATGGTGGACGTGTGAGGCGTGCAATGTGGTTGCGTGTGCGATTGGCGGAGTACAGCTTCTTATAGAAGGTAGGGACGGGATGGTGTAGTTGATGTTGTAGAGGATAGGCTACATCATATGTTAGACGATAGGGCGGGGTACAGCTTCTTATAGAAGGTAGGGACGGGATGGTGTAGTTGATGTTGTAGAGGATAGGCTACATCATATGTTAGAAGATAGGGCTGGGTACAGCTTCTTATAGAAGGTAGGGACGGGATGGTGTAGTTGATGTTGTAGAGGATAGGCTACATCATATGTTAGAAGATAGGGCTGGGTACAGCTTCTTATAGAAGGTAGGGACGGATGGTGTAGTTGATGTTGTAGAGGATAGGCTACATCATATGTTAGAAGATAGGGCTGGGTACAGCTTCTTATAGAAGGTAGGGACGGGATGGTGTAGTTGATGTTGTAGAGGATAGGCTACATCATATGTTAGAAGATAGGGCGGGGTACAGCTTCTTATAGAAGGTAGGGACGGGATGGTGTAGTTGATGTTGTAGAGGATAGGCTACATCATATGTTAGAAGATAGGGCTGGGTACAGCTTCTTATAGAAGGTAGGGACGGGATGGTGTAGTTGATGTTGTAGAGGATAGGCTACATCATATGTTAGAAGATAGGGCTGGGTACAGCTTCTTATAGAAGGTAGGGACGGATGGTGTAGTTGATGTTGTAGAAGATAGGCTACATCATATGTTAGAAGATAGGGCCGGGTACAGCTTCTTATAGAAGGTAGGGACGGGATGGTGTAGTTGATGTTGTAGAGGATAGGCTACATCATATGTTAGAAGATAGGGACGGGATGGTGTAGGTACAGCTTCTATGTTAGAAGATAGAAGGTAGGGGACGGATGGTGTAGGATGGTGTAGTTGATGTTGTTAGAAGATAGGGCCGGGTACAGCTTCTTATAGAAGGTAGGGACGGGATGGTGTAGTTGATGTTGTAGAGGATAGGCTACATCATATGTTAGAAGATAGGGCGGGGTACAGCTTCTTATAGAAGGTAGGGACGGGATGGTGTAGTTGATGTTGTAGAAGATAGGGCTGGGTATAACTGGTTACAGGAGGGAAGCAGGCTGGTGTACAGTTGCTGGTATTAGGTGGGTGACTGGTGGGCTATTGACAGATGAAAGTACAACCTATCCCTGAAGTCAAACCATTCAGCCGTAATCTGTGACCTTCCTAACAGGTGCTAGTATAGACCAGTACTCTGTCACTATTAGATACTGGAGCAATCACTCAGATAATCCGAAAGTGAGGTTCGAAAAACTCACAAAATTGTCATGCTTTGATTTTGATGAATTCATCGAAATCCATGGTCGAAAAAAATCACTTCGTCTTAACTATTATGAAAGTAACAACTGGGTGTTGTTGACAACAGGAGAACCGGTGATACGCACTGACCAGTCTCTGCGGAATGCCACAACCGTAGCATTAGTCTGCAGGGCGTATGGACTACCCGAGCCCACCTTAAGGTACTCCCGAGGGTCTACAGCTATAGGCGAGTTGACTCCGGGGCACAGGGTGGAGGGGGCTTGGCTCTACATATCGGTCGCCTCTCTGGGAGACACATACACGTGTACAGCCGAAAACAGCCATGGATCAAGCACCAAAATATTCACGAGTAAGATATGATCAAATTATGAAAACAGCGCCCTCAAAACGCACCATGAATGTGTTATGTATCACTGATCGCCACCACAAAAGGCCGGCACGTTTGAAACTAGAACAGTGCTACCCTGAGGTAAACCAGGGTAGACATGAACTGTGTAGTCTTGATTACCACCAGAATAGTATTGAATGTTTGAACAGGAAACCTGGTAACATTAGCTATGGATGTTTGCTTGTGTTCAAGAGTATGCATATTCTGATTATTTCATGTTCACCGAGTGAAGTGTTTACTGTTTACTTTATGACTGCTGTAGAGCCCGACGCTGGACCTTCCGTCACGGCAACCAATGTCACATCAAGGGAGATAACTGTCACGTGGGAACCTGTAAAGGTATCCGGCAATTTGTTTGTGACCGCAACCCACATGAAATACCATACGCCGAGTGCGACTTCAGCGATTGTTTCCGAAGTCTCCAGGCTGCCGCCCCATAGAGTGACTGGGCTTCTGCCTTACACGACCTATGAGCTTGCTGTGTCTGTAACCAACGTGTTGGGAACAGGCTTGTACGGTCCTTCTCTCAGCATCACAACCGCAGCAGAAGGTACAGTACAGTAAACGTTATCTGACACTTACCCTAGGCAAGGTGCCCTTTGTGGGTGAATATGAATTATCACAGTCATAAGAGAGGAACCCGATTCATAACAATATAAATAAACAAATGTCAATGCTACGGTATTAAGAATATAAGGAACATAGCTAGAAATGACCTGACGTTCAATAATTCATCCTATGAATCTCCAACAGTTACTACATACAAACCAAGGATCTGTGTACATATTGAAAGAAACGCCCTTATGATAAAACCTGGACCCTGGAGCCTATGTAAAAACATGGATGCAGGTATACTTAACATAATTGAACTCTTTACATGCGCAAGATGCAGTACTAAGTTGTCTTTGGGCGCCAGTAGCCCAGTCTGGCGGCGACGCTGGGCTGTGCTACTACTGTGTGCAAGGAACCATCGATTATTGGTTCTAATCCGAGATTCGACCCTTAAATATAACCTGGACTCATACTACATGCAGATGCTGCCATCACTGTCGTATGCACCTATATTCATACAATTATAAAGTACTATAAGTATGTGTCTCTGTCACTATAATGTTCGCAAACGTCTCAAATGAAGCTGAAGGTGACATCTAATCTACTTGTTTCAGTGTACCAACATTGTGCCACGTTGTGACACTAAATATCATCATGACTGTATTTCAGCCCCTACTTCTCCTGTTGCCGTGGCAGCTCGTGTGTTGAATTCAACGGTCACTGTCACGTGGTCCCATTCACTGCATCTGTACGGAAACATTGGTCAGTAGTATTTACATATTATATAAATCTATAACGATACAGCAATGATGCTGTGCAACTTTACAAACGTGATAGATGCTTCAGTCATACTTATAGGTTAACGAGCTGAAAGATGAATTTCGATGTTACCGAAGTATTCGTCAATGGAAACGCTTGATACTTTCAAATTACTTGATGAACTTGAGGAGACAATACTGCTATACTTCTACAATAAGAGCAGAGGTATAATATGATTTCACGACAAACCCTGCCCCAATGTATTGCCAGAATTAAGTTATAAACGCAAAGGTCGCCTGATAGGCTAGTCAGCGCCAGATGACCTGCTTGACGTAGAGTGACGGGGTTCGTTGTTTCTCCATGATGTAGTGGTTGTGTGTGTTGTTCCCCAGATGACGTGGTGTACCGAGTCTCAATGGTGTATTGGTTGTGTGTGTTGTTCCCCAGATGACGTGATGTACCGAGTCTCCATGGTGTATTGGTTGTGTGTGTTGTTCCCCAGATGACGTGATGTACCGGGTCTCCATGGTGTAGTGGTTGTGTGTTGTTCCCCAGATGACGTGATGTACCGGGTCTCCATGGTGTAGTGGTTGTGTGTTGTTCCCCCAGATGACGTGGTGTACCGAGTCTCCATGGTGTAGTGGTTGTGTGTTGTTCCCCCAGATGACGTGATGTACCGGGTCTCCATGGTGTAGTGGTTGTGTGTTGTTCCCCCAGATGACGTGGTGTACTGAGTCTCCATGGTGTAGTGGTTGTGTGTTGTTCCCCAGATGACGTGGTGTACCGAGTCTCCATGGTGTAGTGGTTGTGTGTGTTGTTCCTCCAGATGACGTGGTGTACGAGTCTCCATGGTGTAGTGGTTGTGTGTTGTTCCCCAGATGACGTGATGTACCGGGTCTCCATGGTGTAGTGGTTGTGTGTTGTTCCCCAGATGACGTGGTGTACCGAGTTCCATGGTGTAGTGGTTGTGTGTTGTTCCCCAGATGACGTGGTGTACCGAGTCTCCATGGTGTAGTGGTTGTGTGTTGTTCCCCCAGATGACGTGGTGTACTGAGTCTCCATGGTGTAGTGGTTGTGTGTTGTTCCCCAGATGACGTGGTGTACTGAGTCTCCATGGTGTAGTGGTTGTGTGTGTTGTTCCTCCAGATGACGTGGTGTACCGAGTCTCCATGGTGTAGTGGTTGTGTGTGTTGTTCCCCAGATGACATGATGTACCGGGTCTCCATGGTGTAGTGGTGGTGTGTGTGGTTCCTCCAGATGACGTGGTGTACCGAGTCTCCATGGTGTAGTGGTTGTGTGTTGTTCCCCCAGATGACGTGGTGTACCGAGTCTCCATGGTGTAGTGGTTGTGTGTTGTTCCTCCAGATGACGTGATGTACCGAGTCTCCATGGTGAAGTGGTTGTGTGTTGTTCCTCCAGATGACGTGGTGTACCGAGTCTCCATGGTGTAGTGGTGGTGTGTTGTTCCTCCAGATGACGTGGTGTACCGAGAGTCCCATGGTGTAGTGGTGGTGTGTTGTTCCTCCAGATGACGTGGTGTACCGAGTCTCCATGGTGTAGTGGTTGTGTGTTGTTCCTCCAGATGACGTGATGTACCGAGACTCCATGGTGTAGTGGTTGTGTGTTGTTCCCCAGATGACGTGATGTACCGAGTCTCCATGGTGTAGTGGTTGTGTGTTGTTCCCCAGATGACGTGGTGTACCGAGTCTCCATGGTGTAGTGGTTGTGTGTTGTTCCCCAGATGACGTGATGTACCGAGTCTCCATGGTGTAGTGGTTGTGTGTTGTTCCCCAGATGACGTGGTGTACCGAGTCTCCATGGTGTAGTGGTTGTGTGTTGTTCCCCAGATGACGTGGTGTACCGAGTCTCCATGGTGTAGTGGTTGTGTGTTGTTCCCCAGATGACGTGGTGTACCGAGTCTCCATGGTGTAGTGGTGGTGTGTGTTGTTCCTCCAGAATACGTGATGTACCGAGTCTCCATGGTGTAGTGGTTGTGTGTTGTTCCCCAGATGACGTGGTGTACCGAGACTCCATGGTGTAGTGGTTGTGTGTTGTTCCCCAGATGACGTGGTGTACCGAGTCTCCATGGTGTAGTGGTTGTGTGTTGTTCCCCAGATGACGTGGTGTACCGAGTCTCCATGGTGTAGTGGTTGTGTGTTGTTCCCCAGATGACGTGGTGTACCGAGACTCCATGGTGTAGTGGTTGTGTGTTGTTCCCCAGATGACGTGGTGTACCGAGTCTCCATGGTGTAGTGGTTGTGTGTTGTTCCCCAGATGACGTGGTGTACCGAGTCTCCATGGTGTAGTGGTTGTGTGTTGTTCCTCCAGATGACGTGATGTACCGAGTCTCCATGGTGTAGTGGTTGTGTGTTGTTCCTCCAGATGACGTGGTGTACCGAGTCTCCATGGTGTATTGGCTGTGTGTTGTTCCTCCAGATGACATCGTGTTCCGAGTCTCCATGGTGTAATGGTTGTGTGTTGTTCCTCCAGATGACGTGGTGTACCGAGTCTCCATGGTGTAGTGGCTGTGTGTTGTTCCTCCAGATGACATCGTGTACCGAGACACCATGGTGTAGTGGTTGTGTGTGTTGTTCCTCCAGATGACATCGTGTACCGGGTCTCCATGGTGTAGTGGTTGTGTGTTGTTCCTCCAGATGACGTGGTGTACCGAGTCTCCATGGTGTAGTGGCTGTGTGTTGTTCCTCCAGATGACATCGTGTACCGAGACTCCATGGTGTAGTGGTTGTCTGTTGTTCCTCCAGATGACGTGGTGTACCGAGTCTCCATGGTGTAGTGGCTGTGTGTTGTTCCTCCAGATGACATCGTGTACCGAGACTCCATGGTGTAGTGGTTGTGTGTGTTGTTCCTCCAGATGACGTGATGTACCGAGTCTCCATGGTGTAGTGGTTGTGTGTTGTTCCCCAGATGACGTGGTGTACCGAGTCTCCATGGTGTAGTGGTTGTGTGTGTTGTTCCTCCAGATGACGTGGTGTACCGAGGTTCCATGGTGTAGTGGTTGTGTGTTGTTCCCCAGATGACGTGGTGTACCGAGTCTCCATGGTGTAGTGGTTGTGTGTGTTGTTCCTCCAGATGACGTGGTGTACCGAGTCTCCATGGTGTAGTGGTTGTGTGTTGTTCCTCCAGATGACGTGGTGTACCGAGTCTCCATGGTGTAGTGGTTGTGTGTTGTTCCCCAGATGACGTGGTGTACCGAGTCTCCATGGTGTAGTGGTTGTGTGTTGTTCCTCCAGATGACGTGGTGTACCGAGTCTCCATGGTGTAGTGGTTGTGTGTTGTTCCCCAGATGACGTGGTGTACCGAGTCTCCATGGTGTAGTGGTTGTGTGTTGTTCCTCCAGATGACGTGGTGTACCGAGTCTCCATGGTGTAGTGGTTGTGTGTTGTTCCCCAGATGACGTGGTGTACCGAGGTTCCATGGTGTAGTGGTTGTGTGTTGTTCCCCCAGATGACGTGGTGTACCGAGTCTCCATGGTGTAGTGGTTGTGTGTTGTTCCTCCAGATGACGTGGTGTACCGAGTCTCCATGGTGTAGTGGTTGTGTGTTGTTCCCCAGATGACGTGATGTACCGAGTCTCCATGGTGTAGTGGTTGTGTGTGTTGTTCCTCCAGATGACGTGATGTACCGAGACTCCATGGTGTAGTGGTTGTGTGTTGTTCCCCAGATGACGTGGTGTACCGAGTCTCCATGGTGTAGTGGTTGTGTGTTGTTCCTCCAGATGACGTGGTGTACCGAGACTCCATGGTGTAGTGGTTGTGTGTTGTTCCCCAGATGACGTGGTGTACCGAGTCTCCATGGTGTAGTGGTTGTGTGTTGTTCCTCCAGATGACGTGGTGTACCGAGTCTCCATGGTGTAGTGGTTGTGTGTTGTTCCCCAGATGACGTGGTGTACCGAGTCTCCATGGTGTAGTGGTTGTGTGTTGTTCCTCCAGATGACGTGGTGTACCGAGACTCCATGGTGTAGTGGTTGTGTGTTGTTCCCCAGATGACGTGGTGTACCGAGTCTCCATGGTGTAGTGGTTGTGTGTTGTTCCTCCAGATGACGTGGTGTACCGAGTCTCCATGGTGTAGTGGTTGTGTGTTGTTCCCCAGATGACGTGGTGTACCGAGTCTCCATGGTGTAGTGGTTGTGTGTTTGTTCCTCCAGATGACGTGGTGTACCGAGTCTCCATGGTGTAGTGGTTGTGTGTTGTTCCTCCAGATGACGTGATGTACCGAGTCTCCATGGTGTAGTGGTTGTGTGTTGTTCCCCAGATGACGTGGTGTACCGAGTCTCCATGGTGTAGTGGTTGTGTGTTGTTCCCCAGATGACGTGGTGTACCGAGTCTCCATGGTGTAGTGGTGGTGTGTGTTGTTCCAGATGACGTGGTGTACCGAGTCTCCATGGTGTAGTGGTTGTGTGTTGTTCCCCAGATGACGTGGTGTACCGAGTCTCCATGGTGTAGTGGTGGTTGTGTTGTTCCTCCAGATGACGTGGTGTACCGAGTCTCCATGGTGTAGTGGTTGTGTGTTGTTCCTCCAGATGACGTGGTGTACCGAGTCTCCATGGTGTAGTGGTTGTGTGTTGTTCCTCCAGATGACATCGTGTACCGAGACTCCATGGTGTAGTGGTTGTGTGTTGTTCCTCCAGATGACATCGTGTACCGGTCTCCATGGTGTAGTGGTTGTGTGTTGTTCCTCCAGATGACGTGGTGTACCGAGTCTCCATGGTGTAGTGGCTGTGTTGTTCCCTCCAGATGACGTCGTGTACCGAGTCTCCATGGTGTAGTGGTTGTGTGTTGTTCCTCCAGATGACGTGGTGTACCGAGTGGTGTAGTGGTGTGTGTTGTTCCTCCAGATGACGTGGTGTACCGAGTCTCCATGGTGTAGTGGTTGTGTGTGTTGTTCCTCCAGATGACGTGGTGTACCGAGTCTCCATGGTGTAGTGGTTGTGTGTTGTTCCCCCAGATGACGTGGTGTACCGAGTCTCCATGGTGTAGTGGTTGT